CATCTCCACCCTCACCGCTACCTCCAAGCCCCGAGCCGCCGTCACCACAGCCCCCATTACCGCCACCTCCACCCTCACCGCTACCCCCAAGCCCCGAGCCGCCGTCACCACAGCCCCCATTACCGCCTTATCCACCCTCACCGCGACCTCCAAGCCCCGAGCCGCCGGCCCCGCAGCCCCCATTACCGCCACCTCCACCCTCACCGCTACCCCCAAGCCCCGAGCCGCCGTCACCACAGCCCCCATTACCGCCACCTCCACCCTCACCGCTACCTCCAAGCCCCGAGCCGCCGTCACCACAGCCCCCATTACCGCCACCTCCACCCTCACCGCTGCCTCCAAGCCCCGAGCCGCCGTCACCACAGCCCCCATTACCGCCATCTCCACCCTCACCCCTACCTCCAAGCCCCGAGCCGCCGTCACCACAGCCCCCATTACCGCCACCTCCACCCTCACCGCTACCTCCAAGCCCCGAGCCGCCGTCACCGCAGCCCCCATTACCGCCACCTCCACCCTCACCGCTACCTCCAAGCCCCGAGCCGCCGTCACCACAGCCCCCATTACCGCCATCTCCACCCTCACCGCTACCTCCAAGCCCCGAGCCGCCGTCACCACAGCCCCCATTACCGCCACCTCCACCCTCACCGCTGCCCCCAAGCCCCGAGCCGCCGCTACCACAGCCCCATCACCTTATCCACCTCACCGCTACCTCCAAGCCCCGAGCCGCCGTCACCACAGCCCCCATTACCGCCACCTCCACCCTCACCGCTACCCCCAAGCCCGCAGCCCCCGCTACCACAGCCCCCATCACCACCTCCACCCTCACCGCGACCTCCAAGTCCACAGCCTCCGTCACCACAGCCTCCGTCGCCACAACCTCCACCCTCACCGCGACCTCCAAGTCCACAGCCTCCGTCACCACAGCCTCCGTCGCCACCACCTCCACCCTCACCGCGACCTCCAAGTCCACAGCCTCCGTCACCACAGCCTCCGTCGCCACCACCTCCACCCTCACCGCGACCTCCAAGTCCACAGCCTCCGTCACCACAGCCTCCGTCGCCACCACCTCCACCCTCACCGCGACCTCCAAGTCCACAGCCCCCGTCACCACAGCCCCCATTACCACCACCACCCTCACCGCGACCTCCAAGCCCAGATCCCCCAATACCTCCACGGCCACCATTTCCACCTTCACCGCCACCAGCACCACCCTCCCCGCCTCCCAGTCCACCTCCTAGGCCGCCACGGGTCCCAAAACGACCCCCTCCTTCTCCAGATCCGTCGCCTCCATCTCCGCCTTTACCTCCTTCCCCATTGCCTCCCCTTCCTCCCAGCCCGCCACCTAGACCGCCACCAGCACCACCCTCACCAAGGCCACACCCTCCTTCTCCACCAAGCCCTCCATCTCCACCTTCCCCGCCGCCCTCACCCCCTTCCCCTCCTCCCAATCCTTCACCTAAACCACCGCGGCCCCCCTCTCCTTTCCCACCTCCGTCGCCTCCATCTCCACCTAAACCGCCCCCACCACCCTCTCCTCCTTCGCCACCTCAATTGCCGCCCCCTCCTTCCAGCCCGTCACCTAGACGGCCACGGAATCCAAAGCCCCCCCCTCCTTCCCCACCTCTGAGACCTCCCTCCTTCTCCATCTCCCCCATCGCCGCCCTCTCCTTCCAGACCGCCACCTATTAGACCTCCACCACCCTCTCCTCCTTCTCCACGCCCAAGGCCTCCATCTCCACCTTCACCACAACCTTCACCACCTATTAGACCGCCACCGCCCCCAGCACCCTCTCCTCCTTCTCCACGCCCAAGGCCTCCATCTCCACCTTCACCACCTCCCCCGTTGCCGCCCCCTCCTTCCAGCCCGTCACCTAGACGGCCACGGAATCCAAAGCCCCCCCCTCCTTCCCCACCTCTAAGACCTCCATCTCCACCTTCTCCATCTCCCCCATCGCCGCCTTCTCCTTCCAGACCGCCACCTATTAGACCTCCACCACCCTCTCCTCCTTCTCCACGCCCAAGGCCTCCATCTCCACCTTCACCCCCTTCATATAGACCGCCACCGCCCCCAGCACCCTCTCCTCCTTCTCCACGCCCAAGGCCTCCATCTCCACCTTCACCACCACCTTCAGCCCCCTATTAGACCGCCACCGCCCCCAGCACCCTCTCCTCCTTCTCCACGCCCAAGGCCTCCATCTCCACCTTCACCACCTCCCCCGTTGCCGCCCCCTCCTTCCAGCCCGTCACCTAGACGGCCACGGAATCCAAAGCCCCCCCCTCCTTCCCCACCTCTAAGACCTCCATCTCCACCCCCATCACCTCCCCCATCGCCGTCCCCTCCTTCCAGCCCGCCACCTAGACGGCCACCACCTCCACTGCCAAGCCTAAGGGCATCAAGGGGCAGCGGTACATCACAGGATGTTCCACCTCCCCCAGGTAGGTTATTGGGTACGTGTGCACGACATGCATGTTTTCCGCCGTGCAGCAGATTCAGATGTAGTGACCTATCAGGGGTAACATCACTCTTGAAAACATACCCGCACAACATACCCCTGCTTACGTAGGAGCAGCGGTAATCAGAATGCAGAGAAGGTACCAGACCAAGAAGGAAATCGTTTGAGGAGGCTGCTCCGAAACGAGTGCACCCTCTCCAGCAGCCACTTTATGTAGCACCTGCAACACATGCCTGCTGGGTATCCACAACCCAACTAACATACACGCTCCATGTTCCGGTTCTCTCAATCGCACTCAGGCTTATCGGACAGCGCCACATCAGGTGCCGAGGTTTATGGCAACATGACCCTAAGTGTGGACTGTGGCTTGATCGACAGCCTGGGTACCAACCTCGCCATCGACCTCAGGGCGGAGCTGGCCAGTGCCTTCGGGGTGCGTGGCATCATGCGGGCCGTGTATGTGTGTGTGTGCGTGATGTATCACACAACAAACTACATCCCCCTCTTGGACATGCTGTTGTTATGCTGCAAGTCCCATGTATTCCAGTAAAGATTCATTTGGGTTTACGACAGCAGCGTAGTTATCCTTAGCTTGTTATTATCCTTCCCAATCATTAGCATGTAGGGCGCGGAAGGCGGGTGTGCAGAATGGCATCGTGCATGCAGAGTGATGTAGCTCGCTTTGATCTCTTCGATTCCCTCGCCGGTCGCTTTCGTCGTCTGCTGCTACTTGACAGCCTTGGAACGCATCAGCTCCGCCATCCAGAAGCCCTAACTCCGTATATGCATTACAGTAATTCAGCCTTATACTGTCTTTCGTTGCTGTACAGCATTCATTTAGTAGCTACTACGACAGCTGTAGATGGTACGGCACACATATAGGTCTGTAAATGATGCCGGCTAAGGAGCTCCGCCATGATCCTAATAGGTTTTTCCAGCAGCTTGCGCAAGCTATTAGATTGCAAAGCTGCTGCTCGAGTCCATCTCGAGGCAATCCATATATCGTGTGTATGTGTATGTGTATGTGTATATGCGTGTGTTAAGACAAAATCTTGCCTTTGGTATATGTATGTATGTATGTGTGTATGTATGTATGTATTCCGCAGGTATCCGCGGACAGCGCCCTAATCACAAACATCAGCTGCAACGGCTTGTCGGGTATTACCGCGTCTTATATGGTTCAGGTTCCATCAAGAAGTAATGACGATACATCTGATAACGTTACCACGGTACGCACACACATGATGGGCAGCAAGGGATGGCCCTTGATCCGCAGACGACACCCCATGACCCCCTGCAGGGCAATAGAACCTCTCCGTCAGCCCCTTAATCATTATTTACTACTGTCCACGGACACCCGTCGCATACACCCGGGAGGGAGGGAGGGAGGGTGGGAAAACACGCACTTGCCCATGCTGGTCGATACTCCACGGCTGGGCGCCGTATGCCCAGTCTAGCAACGCTTCAGGACATACAGATTTGGAAATGGAAACTCTGCTGTATGTTTTCCCCGCCGGGCAATGCATGACTGCCTGGCGCAATAACGTTATTTGCCAATCTAAAACCTAGGGAAATGTGGCAGCTAGCTCAACAGTATGACTGGCAAAACCGATACAGAAGTTATCTGCCGTAGCTGTAGTACAGTACAACACACATACTGTCTATATGTATACGCTACGGCGCTTCGTTCGCATCTAAAGAGGCGTATTCAGCTACTGCACTATCTCGGAGCTGCCTCAGTGCACCCAGCAGAACTGGGAATTCTGTGTGCAGTCGTAGCAATCTGGGCAAAACGCCCGTAATGCTCAAACGTTAGTGTAACACAGCAAAGGCGTAACCCGGGATGCTCAGATTGGCATTTGCGTCCTTACAGTTAGACATCAAGCCAATGAACCTAAGCCATAGTGCGTGGCGGGATTCATATTCGTATTCCCAGGTGTCAATATTGGTCATCTGGTATGTATAGGTGCACCGGACGCACGCATGTTAACAGTGGATGGGTGGCTTTAGGGCTTCCTTCACATGTACGCATGTCGTACCACGACTTCAGAAAAGTACCGATCGGCGGATGGAGCTCCTGTGATAAGTCCAGGATACTACAGATACGGGGTGGGGGTAGTAAAAGCTGCCGGACGAAGAGTATGGTGTGTTTAAAACCACAAACGTTTATGTGAGCGCGGCGGAGTGAACTGGTGACGAGCCAACATTGAGATGGCAGTCAGCTAGGTTCGTTAGCAGCAGCAGCAATTCCCCAACCGAGTAGCTAGTAACAGCCGCAGGGTTACAGCTACCAGAACCAGATGTCCAAACAGTGGCAGAGCACGGTTCCCGTCTGTCCAGTTATAAACCCAGCAAATAGAGATATGTCCAGGAGGAGGTGCTTATTTGCATAAACACCCATGCCCGAACACAATCTGCATGTCCTTGTACGCATTCGTTCACAGGTTGCCGATGCCGCAGCCGCCACTGCCAGTAACCTCAGCTCACACATCAGCAGTGAATTCACGTCCCAGTGGGGACCCGTTACCACGTCACATCTGGAGGGCATTATTTTAACCCCCACCGCCACACAGCAGCAGCAGGAGCAGAAGGAGCAATCACCACAGCAGCAGTCCGAATCTTCAGGTATGTGTGTAGATACACTTGGAATGGATTCCGGAGAGCCTAGGGCCCCTCTATGTGATATGTGCCTATCCGAGGTGATACATGCATGCATGGAGACTTTGACAGAAACAGCGGTGGGGGTGTTGACAAGCACAGAGGGGGCGGATAGATGGGGACAGATTCCTGAGCAAAAGGAGCACCACTTCCGGAGAAGGATAGAAGTGAAGTTCTCGCCACGTGGTCAAAACGTTTACTGACGAACAGTAGCAGGCAAATCACTGGCGTACCTGCCGTGCGCTTGGTTGTGTTGCTCTTGTACGAACCGTACATCCTACTCGTGCATGTGTGAGCCCAACGATACAATTCTTACCTGCAGATCCGCATTTGTTCCAAATGCAGGTTCACAGCCGGTGGTGGCGGTGTCACCCGGAGGCGGCAATAGCAAGTCCTCCAAGCCAAATACGACAGTTATCATTTCTGCGATAGCGGGTTCTGTGGCGGGAGTTGCGGTCCTGGTCGCATTGGTCGCCGCCGCTGTTGCCTTGGTGGCGCGGGCCCGGCGGCTGAGAAGGGCGGTGCCCATTGATGGACCACCAGACTGGGGAGGACGGCGCTCTGCCTGGACCTAGGTCGGATACCTTGCCGGCTTACAACCAAGACACTAACAAGCTCTAACAGGGATTCTGCAAACATCAACCCATCCGTGCACATTAGATCATCCTTTCTATTACACCAGAGTACGACACACTGACTATCAAACATATATTAGAGATGTACGATATACAGATGTAGGTTTTACCGGGATGGCATGTTTAAAATATGTTCTAACCAGACCGGACAGACCAGTTGTCTTGGAGGTTTCTGGGCCACCATGCTTGTACGTACCCCTCTGCATATATACATGCTTGTGTACCGGCAGCAGCAGCAGCAGCAGCAGATACTCTTGCTGTTGCACTGCTTGCTCAGTCAGGGAGCGCATGAGAGTAGTCCCCGATTGCGAAAGCTGAAGAACCGCTGCCAAGCTGCGGTACACGATGCGGTACACAGATAGCTACATAGATTGGCACATTGACATCCGCGGAGGCAAGGCAAGGCAGTGAAGCACGCGACCGATGATTCATGCAATCTTCATCAATTTGTCATTTGGCTTCACATGCACGCACATACACGCACACGCACGCACATACACGCACACGCACGCACATACGCGCACACATACATACACATACACGCACACACACATTATTCACGCACGACAATTATGGCTCATATTTTTATGCATTGCGCGCACTGGTAATGGATATGGGAGAGGAGTTGAACAAGGTCCTGTAATCAGTTTTTTGCCTATGCACGTCTTAGCTTATTATCTTCTTATTGCTCCTGGCATTACGGCAATAAGCTTAGTGCCATAACGCCAGGAAAATTAGAAGTAACCTATCTGCCTTCGTCGCGCAGACAAGGTTCGGATTACTCGTATGTCGTGCTGCGTATGTTGGGTACCTTTGGCGCTTTACATCATTCGTATTATTGCTCAGGTAGGTGCGGCACGGAACATAGACATCAATCCAGCCTGCTGGCACACACATACAAGAGTGCATCCATCTTTCGGCCCCTGAATGTGCGGTCTCGATGGCGGTGTGTACGGCACCACGCATGGCGGCAGCAGGCCTGCCTAGGATTGTTGTATTCTTTGGCACATCACGAAATCTGCATCTGCCGATCGGTATTATTCTAAAGCCGTGATATAGCAATTGGTATTGAACAAATTTTTTAGTTCTGACGTGGGTTCTAATTTCAGCTGAAGCGGTTTCTACTGAGCAGGAGTTGGCGGCCGTGACGGCGACCACTGCGGGTGCTGCCACCAAACAGGGATCCTGGGGTTGACTAAGGCCGTGGACGCCCTCTTCTGCTAGGAGTGGGAGAGATGTTGTACCGCGGGATTTGCATCCGCCGATTGGTACTTCTTTGAAGTCGTGATATAACAAGAATACAAGAATTTAACATGTATGATGTGCACGGAACATCTGGCGTGAATGGAATACGTAGTAGTGGTATATGTGGTCGTTGTATGTAGTTAGCCAAGATTATTATTCAAATTAATATTATCATCATGAGTACGTCAGATGGGTGTTCTGCAGTGTTTATGCCAATGGGCATGCGTCCTGAACCCGAGCCTTAGACTCTCGCTCGAGATTTCTCCGCACTCGCTTTGAATTTCGTTCGGTTTATCTGCCTTATCGTTGGATGCAGCCCCTGCAGCTGGTTTCTTTTAAGTCTCTGTATACATATAATTGGGGGCAACTGTACGCTTTCTGCCGTACGCTTGCTTGCTGCGTTTGTAAACTTACAGGCGCGTGCCCCTAGCTGTCGTGTTGCCGTGGGCCGTTTTGCGTGGTCCTCTGCAGGCGTAGTACTAGATGGGCGTACATCTTTCTCCACCGATCTCCATGACAACCGAGTCGGATAATGTACTGCATATAACCACACCCAAATCCCACCCATACTCAAGCGACCGCATACTCACTGCACTGCGGTCCTTGCCTGTTACAACTTGCAGCATCCCCCCCGGGCCCACCGGCTGCAAAAAACTCAAGTTGTCATGCAATTTGACCTTGCTCTATCTGTGGTCTGTCTGCGCTGTTCGCAATTGTCTAGCTGTTGATATTGTTTGCCACGTATAAAGGCACACGTAGGTGGTATAAAGGCACACGTGGCGGAGCCTCCTAACTCGTGAGAGCATGCGCACGTGTGACGCCTCCCCCCACCCCGAGGTAGGGAGAACGGAGCTAGCGGACCTGCGGCTCTCGGCTATGCTTAGGAGAGGGGCGCAGAGGCCCGTCACGCCCCTTCCCTGTCCGCGGGAGTGAGCTTAGGTTTTCCGTTGGGGCTGGGCAGCAGCGCCTGGCCAGCGTCAGGCCCGGTCAGATACTTGTAACGTTCACACACACATTCATATTCACTTTCATTTTCACATTCACATTCACACATTCACATTCACACATTCACGTTCACATTCACATTCATACATTCACACACACACACACACACACACACACACACACACACACACGGCTGTTGGTTAACCAACCCGGGCGGTGGCAGGCTTCCGAAGAGGATATGGTCCGTGGTTTATACACAAGGTTTTCTCTAATCACACGTTGTACTCTTTGTCTGGTCTTGTAGGGGTGCGAATTGCTTGGAGGTGTGATCTCCCTGTATCGATCCTGATTACGAACATCCGTCATTATGCTGTTTTCACCTTACCAAAAACAGGGTAGCCCGGGTGGACGATATGTCTACCAGCTGAGTATTTAGACGGAGGAGGACAATGGCAAAATAAATTCCCTCCGTGATATGCCCGGGGTGGCCGAGGACGTTCAGTCGAAGGGGGAAAAGTGTCAGAAGGCTCGGCTCCGTTGATATCTCCCTGAGTATTTTTCGTCTGGTCTTACAGTGCATGGCGATATTCACACGTGTGTATGTGTGCATAGGTAGGTAGATCGCGCAGCTGAGAGCATGCGCTCGGTGTGCTGAGAATAATTGTTGTATGTAGCTAGCTAGTGGATTCGAAGAGGTGACGGCACTTTGCGTTGGTGAGGGAGATTGGCTAGGACTTGATGTTGACCGACAACATCCCTTTTGCTAATCAGGGAGTGCTTCGGTGGTCTCACCCATGGGGCGGGTAGCATCCCCCGGCCGTACAGGTGCAGTAAAATATATATGTAACAAATAAGATGTATATGTAACAATTACACACATATATACAGACATGTGCGTGCTGCGACCCACTCTGTGATTTCTTGCAACCTCCGTGTCGTATCACCTCCACAGGTTATGGGAAAGTGAAAGCTACCGATTAGCGAATGAAGAGAGAATAAATGCCTTAGCGATCATGACGACTTGTACAGCAATCTGTGCGACCCCGGAATAGAGTTGCCATCGCAAAGAATCACCAATCGGTGCAATCGTAACCCAAGTGGGTCTACCAATGACAGCTGTCATCACGATTATAACACGCGCGCCATAATCCAGATTCACGCATGGTAAAAGATAGGCAAATGCCAACCTGGTTAACCAAAAAAGCGCGAAGTGGCGAAGTGCCAGAGTCGAAGGAAACTCTTAAGGTATATTTGCAAGTATGCCACAACACCCTGCCGCCCATTTTCCCCGGCCTCTCCCCAGATGCATGCCGCATATCTAGGCCTCACCCAACCACACGAACCCCTAAGGAAAGAAGGCGGTTTCAGCATATGCAAATTGAGTGTTCGGGATAACAGTGTACGCCGCCATTAACTCGTTTCGGGTCGCGGTACTCACCCGAAGCCATCGGCGTTCCTTGTCGTTTTTCTGTGCGTCGGAACGCTAGTGGCTTCCGGTGAGTGGTCGTGCGTGCGTGTCGAGAAAAGCCAGGTAAGCGTTCGACAAGCAGTTGTGTCGAGGCCTGCTTACCAGACAGTTTTATCAGTAACCTGTCTTGTCGTTTTTTTCTGCGCAGGAACGCCGATGGCTGCAGGTGAGGTGTCATGAGGCCGCATGGCGGGCAGCCCATGATATGCGAAGGGGAATGGCAGGCAGAACGGGAGGGAGTGCTCAGCAAGTGTGGACAGCGGTTCATGTTGCTGATGGATGACCATGCCGGGTGATGTCGACATCCGGCTATAAGAACACATACACCAGTGTTGCAAACAAAACTATAAGAACAACCCTTTCCCCTTACCTCTCTCCCGCACACATACACGCACAACAGACTTAGTGACAGGCTCCTCGCATGCAAAAACACACGCACTCATGTTTCATTGCCAGCCGTTTGCGACATCATCTTTGCTGTGGGCTTTGCCTGATTATCTTTCCTTGGGTGTTTTGCTGTGCTGAGCTGAGCTGCGACTGCTGCTGCGACTGCTGCTGCGACTGCTGCTGCTGTTGCTACCGGCCGCCAGCCAATTATGAATGCACAGTCGTTGCTCAAGTACTCGGAGAACCATGTCGCAGAAAACTCTACAGACAGGACACACCTGTATACGATGCACAACACAGTACGGCACAGCACATGGTACTGCACATCACTCCCCCATGAACACGGATCCCTGAAGGTCCAATTCATTCACTCACGTCAAATGCTCTGGCTGAAGCAAAGCTATGCAAACAAGCAACTCGGATTAATGCTAAACGATATTTGAATACGCTTGTATGCGTGTGTAGACCCGATGCATGGCGTCTCCGATGTGCGCGTTCCCGCAGGGAACACCGCTGAGACCGAGCATAGCCCTCCCTCATTTGTAAGCATGTCGGGGGCCGCGGCGTGGTGTTCTCTCCCTGCAAGAAACATGATTCCGCAGAGTATAGCATCGGCTTACTTCGGCACCGTGCGTGCTGACCGGCTGACTGGACGACTGGGTTTCAAAGGCCTTTACAACGTCCGGGCCGTTGGACAGCCAGTCTTCAGGAATTCCTTACAATTTTGCCAATAGTCAGTTAACTCTATAAAAATTTCAAGTCCTCTTTCACGGTTTAACGGCTGAACAATTGCCTGCATGCGGGCGCCTCTTCATGGTGGGGGTGCAATGGATGCGTGCAAGATCGTTGCCCTGCAACCCGACTCCAGGAGCGCCAGGGGTTGGGCGCCACGTGGTCCACGTCAACGTGATCACAGTACCCCCCCTGGCTCTCAGAGAAGCCACCTTCGAATGAAAGGACGTATAGGTGATGATGGTGGCGCACTTCCGGACTGGAAACATGGTTGGGACTTCTAACAACCCATACACAAGGCGTCTCACATCTCCTCCCCCGCTTGACCCACGAAAGCGAGGACCTGCACCCTCCCCTGCACCCAGGCCTGCCTGCTTATAACACCTTGTTCGCTCATGCGGAAGGCCCCTACTCCCACCACCTGGCATGTCAGGTCACACCCTATGCTATGCAGTCGAGACCCCGACCGAGTGCAACCGGGGCCAACCGCTGCAGCCGCCTCCAACCACCGTCGCCCTTCCCTCCCGGCCCGACGTCAGGCATCCTCCGTGCCGTAATGCTCTCCAGCAGCAGCAGCACCCGCATGGGGTGATTGATGAACCACAACGGGAGGAAGGAGGAAGCTCTCAGGAGCCTGCACTGCACGTCATACACATACAGACACACATACAGACACACACGCCAGGCCTTCCTTCAATCCGATCCTTCACTCTCACGCTGTGGTTTTACGCCAGAGCCAACCAACAGCCAACCGTTACCAGGGTTTCAGTCATAGATCGCTCAAAAACCACTTCCGGAGAAATGTCGCATGTCTTCAGTTTTTACGAGAAAACGAAACTAAGCCGATTCCAAAATATATAAGGGCCGCTCTGGGCATTGACAACGAGAAAAAATGTTAGCCCCACGGCCCGATTTTGCTTGTTTGTGTTTGCCGTATAAGTGAGTGTGGAGTGGAGGCGGGCGAGTGTGCCCGGGTTATGTGGGCCAGCAGTACTGCTCGTGGGTGTCAAGAGGAACCTCTCACCCCCTGCTGTGAAAAACGACCCTCGGCGCCCAACCCCGTGACCCCCTCCTTCACATCGCCACAATCAACCCCAAGACCCTAAGCCACCCGGACTTAGGAGCAGGTGTGGAGAAATACACCACACAACACCAAAGCTTTAATGGTGTTCGTCCGTTTGTCCATCTGCCTGTCCACTGTGCAACTGCTCACCGTTGGAAGCTCGCATCCCGGGGGCCCTTCCCACAGCGACAAGGTGTCGGGCAGTGCATCCTCCGCTTCGCTCGGTGAAATGACGTTGTTGGTCCCCCCCTCCCTCCTTGCCCATCCTCCCTTGTCAGAGAGAGAGTGTGTGTGTGTGTATGTCTGTGTGTATGTCTGTGTGTGTATTGCGAGAATCTCCACCGGTAAGCAGGCGCCGAGCCAATCATCACTCCTATTGTAAATTTAGGTCCCCTTGCCCGAAACCAATCAACCGACTAACCGACCAGAATCATTACTTCGCGTCTCACACGGGCGCTATCTTCACCGCCACCGTCGCCATCACCAACACCAACACCGCCAATGCTACTTGGCCGCGGCCGAGCCCAGCCCGACTGGGCATCTACACACACACACACACACACATACACACACACCGTGTTGTGGTGGTGTGGCGGCGCCTCCCCGTAAGGCCCCTCCCCACACGGACTGCTCGTCCCTCGACCTCCCCCCCCCACCTTGCTTACCTCACATCCACCTCTGCATCCCAGGAGCGGACTAGGAACTGGAGAAGCGGGGAGCTGCTCCGCAAACTATCCCCCCCCCGCACACACACACGGAAGCACCACTACTACCATCATTAACACCACCACCACTAAGCATATCACATCACTGCCTCTTTCTCCCCCACCCCACCCCAGCCAGCCACCCACCGGGACCCCGAATCCGCCCGCACCACTCCTCCCTTCATCCCCCCCCCCCAGCCCGCCCGCCCGCACCAAAGGATGGACCGAGTAGGGTTGTGAGTGGTTCATTTTAGCTACAGCACTACAGCCTCAGGATTCTGGGTCGTATGTGTGCGGGTGCTTCTGGTGGCTCCGCTGTGGCAGCCATGATGGTCTGATCGGCACGGCACTTGCCGCCCATACCGCTGCCTTGCTCGCCTGGCCTTTCCAACAACGAAACACGTTTCATCACATTCGCACCATCTTGACTTTCATAGACTTCTTCGCGGCCTGCTTGGCGAGCTTCTCCTCCGCCTTGCGACGAGCCTCCGGCGCCAGACGAGAAAGCCGCTCCTGAAAGGGGGAAGCGGGTAAGACGAAAGGGGGGAAAGCAATATGGGGAGGGTCATGTGCCGAGGGAGCTGTCCAACTCCAAATTGAGCACTGCCATTTTCCCTCTCTCCCCCTCGTTTTCCGGGGCAACCCCCTTCCCCAAACCGCAGCATTGGCCCCTCCCGGGGCCCCCATTAACCAATCGACACCTAACCCCCATCGCACCCAATCAGATCACGTCCGGGGCCCCCCCATACACACACACACACATCTCACCCCCCCCGTCCTCCGCTCTCCCGCATCCCTCACCTTCTCCTCCTGGGCCTTCTCCTGCTTCCGCTTCTGCAGCGCCTCAATGCGGCGACGGCGGCTCTCCTCCGCGTCCGCCGAGGCGACCTCCTGCCGGATGCGAACCTCCAGCGCCCGCTTCTTTAGCTCGGGGGTCAGTCTGAGGGCGGGGTGGGGGTGGGGGCGGGGGTGGGGGTTGGGGGGAAAAGGGAAACAGGGGTTGGAGGGAGTGAGGGATGAGAATGGCGACAGACAGGAAGGAGATGATCGCCAGGGGGTGAGGGGAGGGGGGAAGGCGGTGCGGGTGCCTTCATAAGGGTGGGGGCGCGAACAGGGCGGAGCATGGCAGTGCGTGTGGGTGCGTGCATGCAAGTGTATGAACCGGTTGGGATTGATTCCTCCCCATGTGCAGAGGGAGCGAACATATCGTATATCTGTGTGGCTGTACGCGTATGTGTGTGTATGGCCCCGTCATGCGCGTTCTTAAAATCCTCCCAAGCCCTCTGTCTATCTGTCTGTCTGTCTGAGCAGGTGGCCAGGCCGCGACTCAAACCCCCTCCCGCCCCAAAGGGACCGAGCGGAGCCCTGACCTCTGTTGTAACCCCCACCCCGACCCTTCAATTGGCGCTCTGTGCGTGTGCAACCTCCTCGTCCGACTACACCCACCTCTTTGACAACCCCCAACACGCTCACACACATCCCACCAAGATGTCCACCATCCAAAATCACCAACACTCCATTTCGCCCATTCCGCTACTACGGGAACAATAATACCCAACCAACCAACCAGCCACTACACGTCAGAGCCTCCGTCCACTCCCTTCCACCCAATTCGGCCACCTGCCGTCTCACCTTTCCAGCTCTTCCCCCTCTTCCCCCTTTGATGTCCCCTTCCCTGCACATGCCTCTCTCTCACTTCCCCCGTAACGAAAAAAGCCGCAACTCCAAGCCCATTCACCCCCAACACACACACACACACACACACACACACGGCCATCCCCGTCCCCCTCCCCCTCCCCGCCCAGCCCTGTCCGCCCGTAACGCCCTCACTTGTACACCCCCACGAGGTCCACCAGCAGCGGCACCAGCCCCAGCAGGGGACTCAGCGCCCGCATGTCGTCGTATGCCGGTAACGCAAACACGAACCGCAGCAGCCGCTTGTGACTCCCACCCGAGTTCTCTGAGGTCGCTAGCAAGCTGCGGAACAGCCGCAACTTGTCAGCATGGCCCGTCGACGTAAAGACGGAATGGACCCGTGGGTCACTGAAAAGGTCGTAGAAGAGGGAGCTGTGCTCGGCTAGGACTTGGAGTTTGTGGCCGGGCCAGCCCGGGACGGGATCAGTGGGGGCGGCTGGGCCGCTGGCAGATAGCTTGAGCGGCTTGGTGTAGGTCCGTATGTCGGTGCGGTCGGCTAGGGCGCGGGCCTGGCGCGGCGTGGCGACGGCGAGGACCATGGGCGGCATGTTGGCCTCGTTCATGTAGACGTCGATTTCTAGGAGGTCTTCGGATGGGAGGAAGAAGTTGAGAACCCAGGAAAGCAGGTCGGCGCGGTTGCGGAGGGAGAGGGTCGCCAGGCAGCCCTGGCAGTGGCGCCGGCCTGAGGCGTAGAATTTAAACAGAGAGGAGCTCTCCTTCAGCATTGGCGTGCGGAAGCCGGCGGCGTTCGGCTCGCCGGCGCCGCACAAGGCGAACTGGCGGGGGAAGAGCGCCGCTTCGCCGACGCAGTGCATGCGCGCAAATGCATCCGCGATCTTGCCGTTTTCCTTGGTGCCCCAAATGGCGACGAGCACGTATAAGACGATGACCACAGCGAAGGCGGCTTCCAGACGGTAGTTTTTGGGCTGGGCGGCGGATGTACCGCCTACGGTCGGCCGCCGTCCGCCCACGACGGCGCGAGGCTTGGGCTGCGGATCTGCAGGAGCGCTTTCCTGGCATTGTCCATTACATTGGCCCGGGCTCGACGTCTCCACGACAGTGGCGCTTGCGGCGCCGTCGGAAGTGTCGACGGCGAGATCGAGTGCGTCGAAGCCCTCAAGCTCCACGTCCTTCGCAGCTGTGATGTGAACTAATGTAACCAGAGCAATAAGGGCTAGGAAAAATGCTCCGGCAAACTTCATGTTTCCTCCAACCAGCCGCTGGCTCACCGCCAGCTGACCGGCGCACCCGCGTTACAGTACGTTCAAAAGCTTCCTTTAAGAAAAGTGCCCAATCTGTATAACCCTGCAAAATGCCTAATAGAGCTGATCTATTGCGCAATTATGCAAGACAGCACATCGCTTGCAAGGCATCCAAATATAATCGGTCTATGTCAAAAGGACTGCCTACTTTATTACCCTTTCCGTTTTACCCATTTCCCTTTGCGTTTGGAAGCGTGACGAGTACGGCATCATGTACCAATGTCTGTGGTATTCCATTTACTGGACAGGTCCACAAGACGCCCTGTTGAGATTCGTATTTTATGAAGGGCTTTCACCGCCCTTGGTAACGCCTAAGTTGTGCCTATAAACCACAATGGATGGACGGATTAATGGACGATAAGCCGTACTGCGTCCAGGACTGCCAATATCCGGCATGCACCTTTTTTCTTTGGAAGAGCGATTTGATACGGTCTGGACGATCATATGCTTTCGTTGAAAGATGTCAGCCAAACGACGAGATGAAACTTCCCAACGACATATACCCCGCCAGCCTGTCCGCAACGCCGTACATCCTGACCGTTCCAGCGGACGCCTAGCGGACGGTCATGGAAACGATGGTCCAAAGATCCAAAACATCTGTATGTGGATGATTTATGAGACGCTAATAATACATGCTCCAGCTTGCACTCCTTGGCAAGCAATTAACGCGCAAAACACTCGCCAGGAGAACCTAACCCCAAAATCGTAACGCACATAGTAAAAAGGCTTCTAGCATAAAAGGAGAAAGCAATCGAAAAAGAGACAAGATCCCAAGACGCGCGGCGGACATTCAGTCCTGCCGTGTTGCGTTACAGCAGCTAAGCCGCCAACCGCAAGCACAACTCAGTAGCAAAACAACCCGTTGCGAAACCCCCTCCCAGCACCAACCCATTGTGAAAGTTGCACTAGTGGCCGATAGTAATGACAGGTCTTGAAAGGACCCACAGCTGCAACAATCACTGGGCGGTATTGATTGAGAGGGTCATCACCCATGCGCCAGCCGCGGTGCTGTCTTCACCATAATGCTTCTCAAAAACCTCCGCACTCTTCCAGCACCCCAGCTTCTGCACCAAGCTGCAATCCGCACGGTTGTTAACGCCAGCAGTCACACCTTCGCGTGCAGTGAGTGTGTTCCAAAGCGCGGAGACAGCCCTGCCTCCACAAAGAGCCTCCACAGGGGCCCCGGAGCAGTCTGTATGGTAGGGTTGGATGGTTGTATTGAGCGGCGTGGTATGCTGTTCCAAGCTCTGCATGCCATCCGAGTTGGCCACGACCCAGCGGAGGGAAGGGGTGGTGGTGACGATGCCGCACAACCCACATCGTGCCCATCGGTGCCGCTTGCAGCACACACGGACCACTACAAGTGGGGCACGATATGTGTATCAGGGTCTGCATTTCAGGGGTGGCACTGGCACAACGTTGGCGCCGTCGGCAAAGTCCACTGGGAGTGCAACCGTGTACCATCTTGGCCGTTGGATATCCCTTGGGTGACCCCGAGTGGACGGGAATATGCCCTCTTTCAGTAACACAGGCGAGCTTTGACGAACGGAAAAGCTTCAGCCA